TCGTTTAGAGCTCACCGACTAGTCGGCCGATCGAATTACGTGCGATGTGACTAGTCGTCGGCGATTTTTGAGGTCGCAGAGCTCGTTTCCAGCTCTCCCGTAGCTCGCTCCTGTGCGCTCGAGAGTCGACTGACATTCGGACGTACATCTCACGAGTCTCGATCGTTCTTCGCCATTTCAAATCGTAGGATGGTCGCTGAATACGGTCGACCCTTGCGCGAGCATCGCGAAATACTCGGACGACCCTCTTTCGTACCTCGCACGACTTGCAAAGTTTTTAGAATCGTGCGTGCTTCGAGCGAGCTTTGCGCCAGTGTCGGACGAATGTTCTACGAGCTTTGGCCGAGGTCCTGTAAAGTCATTATCTATTCAGCACCTGTGACATTTATTTGAGATTGCATTGACAGTATACCATGTAAAGTATGCAGTCGCAACGTCCCCACTGATTGTTAACGTTATGTTTACGAGAAAGGATATCGATAAAAATAAATAAAATCGTCCCTTTTGTACTTTTGTTAAATCAATGCAACATTCGTAATAGACCCTTTAAAAATGACAAGAATATAACTAAATAAAGCCACAAGAACATCATGTGATAGAGATATATTACTTACTAGATGAATTTTATATTGCATGGATCTTTTTGCCTCTGTCTACTTGGTTGACACAGAATGGCTAATAAACTATTTTAGACAGAAATACACAAGCAAAGTTGCCTATCCATACTGCGCAATCATTGGATCATCCTTCATTAGTTATGGGGCAGTGCCGAAGTCGCGCGGCGTGGCCAGTCCTCTGGATGTCAAGAAGTATTAGACTCTGTTCCAAAACCCGGGTGGGGGGGTGGGTATTTAAGTATCATTCATCTTTCAAATTTGCTTCTCTACACCCATTCCCTCAACACCACCCTACCCAAGGACCGGCCGACACCACGCTCCCCGGCGGTGCGGATGGATCCAATGAAGAATGGCAGTGTGCTCCGTCTACTACCTCCTTTTATGGGATTGATTATAACGTCATTTCGGATTTAACCAATGAGAGCGCAGTAAGGATAGTTGCCTATCCATACTGCGCAATCATTGGATCATCCTTCATTAGTTATGGGGCAGTGCCTTCGTCGCGCCACCCTACCCTGTCTTCCCTGCATCTCCATCAGCGTCCTCAACACCGAATCCTCTTCCTGTCTTAAAATCCCAAACTCCCCTTTCTCATCCACTTCTCATACCCTCTCTCATCCAAACTCCCCTTTCTCATCCACTTCTCATACCCTCTCTCATCCAAACTCCCCTTTCTCATCCACTTCTCATACCCTCACTCATCCAAACTTCCCTTTCTCATCCACTTCTCATACCCTTCCTCATCCATTTCTCCTCCATTCCTTATCCTTTCCTGCGTTCCTTACGCAAAGCTCCGCTTCCATTCCAACCTCTCGAACCTAAGTGCACAAGATTCACAAAGCCCACAGATACGGCAGGGCTTGTCGATTCTAGACCGATGGTGCTCCAACTTGGATGGGGAGGGGTCCTTCCTATTGTGGACTCTGTGTCTTGTCGTTGTGCAAGCTGCACTGGCGGTTAGTCACTAGCTCTCCAGTCCAAGTGGACCCGCACTACCCTTTTTACACCTTGATGTACATGTAGTCGGCAACTTGCTGGCCGAAGGACCTAACATTGGCTTCTTTTCGGGCCACGTCCCTTCATTCCTCGGTGCCCTAGCACAATGTCGACAGAGTCATTTCTTCTGCCAAACAGGGGTGAAGATTGCCCTGGACACGCGCCCACTTCGTGGCTCACCCCACAAGGGTGATCCTCTCGCTCTGTACCACCCAATACAAGGCTTGTCAGCCTTCCTTTGGGGTTTCCTGTCCTGTGAGCCGGCCACAACGACCTCTTATCTCCTGCCTTTCAGTTGAACGTTGACGGTACTTGGTCCGCCAGGCTTCCCAGTCCCGCGAGCCGTCGCCTTGTCAAGCGCTATCTTCTTTCCCCCTTTCTTATTAACAACTTGTATCGGTTCAACACACCAGTGACACTCCGACAAGCATGCCCGGTAACGGCCACCGGGTGTCTGCACCTACTGGTACCAAACGACACCACCCTATGCGCGCCCCGGAAGTCCGTGCAGGCGCACTGCTTCCCCGTCACGGGGGTCGTCGCTTCGTGAGCCAATTCCTTCTTTCCCCCTTCCTTATTAACAACATATATTGGCTCACCCCGCTAGTAACACTCCGCCGTGGACGCCCGGTAGCGGCAATCGGGTGTCTGTACCTGCTTGTGCCAAAAGACAACCCAGTGCGCGCCCCGGAAGCCCGTACATGCGCAGCGTTTCCGTGTCGTGAAACCTACCATGCACGCCCCGGTAGCGGCAATCGGGTGTCTGCACCTACTGGTGCCAAAAGACAACCCAATGCGCACCCCTGGAAGCCCGTACATGCTCAGTGTTTCTTGCCTTGCATCCGCCATGCACGCCCGGTAGCTGCGCTCGTCTGTCTCCACATAACTTGTGTCAAAAGACAACACCGTTGAAGGCGCAGCCCCGGATGCCCGTACACGCACGATGTTTGCTGCCATGCACGCCCGGTAGCTACGCCCGTCTGTCTCCACATAACTTGTGGCAAAAGACAGCACGCGGTGCAACCCCGGATGCCCGTACACACAGGATATTTGCTGCTATGCACGCCCGGTAGCTACGCCCGTCTGTCTCCACATAACTTGTGGCAAAAGACAGCACGAGGTGCAGCCCCGGAAGCCCGTGCATACACGAAATTTGCTACCGTGCACGTCCGGTAACCAACCCCGTTTGTCTCCACATAACTTGTGGCAAAAGACAACACGAGGCGCAGCCCCGGAAGCCCGTACACGCATACGCTCTATTTGAATAACAACGATTAATAGAGTCGAACAATGCCCAAACAAAAATGCAAATATCAAAACCAGGTGCCTGGCCAGACACCGACATACAAAAGCTGTTACGACTATGTCGTCCAATTTACATGTCAATACAAACGGAACGCGGCCCTCACTTATAAAAAGAAGAACAAACAGCCGAAAACTCCTACCAATAAATGACACAATGCGATAAACCACATGCAAGCAAGACAATGATCTTATTCTCGGTCGCGCTTATCTACAAAAGAAATCGGCGTGTCGTTCCTTGCCCGGGTTGGGGGAGGTGGGAAGCTGGTTGTCCTTGTCTTGATGAGCCTTGAGCAGCTGCCGGGGGAAGCATCGAGTATGGTGGCCTGTACAAAAACATAAACTGCCGTCAAAATTCGATTCAGCCGCACAAAATTGGACCTCATTCCCCCAACCCGGGCGAGTCCCCTCCATGCGGAAAGAACGACTCCTAACATGGGACGCAATGCACGGAGACTCAACCCGAGCTGTTCCTCCCGCTATTACATTAAGTGTTACTCCCCTACATGTGTCACCACCCAACAAACATAAAAAGGTAGCATGCTCCGTGCAAAAAGCAAGGTACAGAAATGCAAAGCAGCGGCGCCAGTACAATGGCACCCACAAACCTACAGACCTTACCGCCTTGAATCCCACAAACCTTCCCTAAACGGAGACTAGAGCCTGCAACTTGGAGACCTTCCTGTCTTGGCGTCTATCTCCTGCACGTCTGTTGTCCAGCCTGCCTGCCATGGCTGAGCCCGCGGTACTGGCTGCTGCGATGGGCGAGGCAATTCACACGTCCTTCACGTAAGCGCCTAGGGAGTGTGTCGACCAAACTGGTCTCGAGAAAGTCGTACTGATTGAAAAACAAAGAAAACGCCAATGGATTGAATAAGAGGGCACCGGAAAGAACGCCGGGCGCGTCGGTCATAGAAATGCAAATCACAAACGTGCAAATTCCCGCCCTGAAATTCCCACCGATGAATTCCGCTCTCTGACGCTGGAAATACAGACAAAAAAGGAAAAACACCCATGTTGTTCGTGGACCTGCATTCTCTCTCGGCCTTCCCTTGTCGTCAAACCGCACTAGCACACTGAAAACAAAAAGAAGCGAGGAAGACAGCCACAGAAGAGAAACCGAAAAACGGCGCCTCGTGGCAACGCTCTACCACCCATACCGATGCAAATCACCCAGGTGCGGAGTCCCGCCCTGACATTCTTGCAGACAATGTCTGACGCTGCAAAAGCCAAAAACAAGACAGAGAAACATCAATATCGCCCCTGGTGCTGGCCTCTCTCGATTTCCTGTAGGTATCCTAGAACCTTAGCAAAGGCGAGCGAGAGACAATGCACAGGAACAGTACATAAAATTAGAAATACAACGCTCTAAAATCCTCGACACCACGTGCCTCACCCAAAACTGTTGTCCCCACAAAAAAAAACACCAAAATGAAAACCTTACAGTCGTTGACCACTCGACTGTAATGTGAACAATGCCGCCTTCAATTTCCAACCCTCTCCACTAGAGTCCTTGGGTAGCCGGCTGGAGACGCGAGGCGACTTCGGGGGCTGCCGCGTGCTGCCCCGCCGACCCGCGGCCTGTTTTCGCCGGGCCGCGCTGGAGACACGTAGGCGGAGCGTAACCCGCTCTCCAAAGCGTTGCGGAGGGATCCAATGAAGAATGGCAGTGTGCTCCGTCTACTACCTCCTTTTATGGGATTGATTATAACGTCATTTCGGATTTAACCAATGAGAGCGCAGTAAGGATAGTTTCTAGAACAATATCTCTTATTAGCTATGTACAGGTACACGTGCATAAAAGAGATGCGGATATAATAATCATCATTATTTTTGGTGTACGTTTTGGTTGAATGGTCAAGAAATCGTACGACCATCGATAGATCGTCGACCGTAACTTGAGCGGCGTACGCCTGTGCGTCGAGTGAGTTTTGGTTCAGGTCCTGATTCAGGTCCTGATTCCATCATCAAAATCTACTTTCCAAATTCTTAGGGCATTAGCTGGTGATATCGTCAAGTTCTCTTCCTTCTGCAGGTGAACAGGTGTACCTGAGTACACATGACACCTGGGCCTTTTATAAGGTTCGTGCGACAGGATTGATGACCGGAACAAACGTCAGGTCCAGCTGCCATAGGGCGGGGATGAGGTATCCGTGCCACTTCTCAGGTACTGCTGGGTGTACCCGCTACTGGACCTCGGACTGCATCACGTTTGACTGGGCCGATAGCAGCTGTGTTACCCACGGGGTCCTCGCCAGTATACTGTGTGGAAACACTAACCCTACGGTCTGTCATCCACTTGATGACACCTTTGTGTACATCCCTGGCCGGTGGAGTGATGACGGCGCCTGCGGAGTGGACTACGACACTCACGGCTGGTGCGTGCCGGGAGCGAACTACAGCAACATGTACGCCCTGTGTGCAGGTGAGGCTGCAGCCGCGATGTCGTTACACACAACAGATAAATTTATGAATACATGTATATATAACAGGTGTTATGCGAGTTACACCTGGCGAGTTACACCTGTATATATATATATATATATATATATATATATGACATATATGTCACATCTGTAACATGCCGACTAAAATAAATCTGAATCTGAAAAACCTTCAATTTTCAGTCGCTACTACATGTCACCACTTAACGTGTGCACACGGAACCTGTACTGCTGGTAACGAAGGCTACACCTGTAGCTGTGAGAACGGCTGGACAGGACGCAACTGTGATCAAAGTTAGTATTTCATTGTTTCATTGTAACAAATGAGAAGATGTTAAATTTCAGAGAAGATATGTTTATTACATTTCCGGACAGGGGGATAATAAAACACTACTGATCAAATGGACACAAAACGATTGTGTCGTACATTTTCAGCAGTTTTCTGAGTAACTTAATAGTGAAGTACCAAAGGCTGTATTGTTGTATTTCTTTATTCCGATTTCATGTTACTTAACATTCAGTTTTATCTCTACCAGACATCGACGACTGCTTGTCCTCCCCATGTGTACACGGAACCTGTACTGACGGCGTGGCGAGTTACACCTGTAGCTGTGAGAACGGCTGGGGAGGGAACAACTGTGATCAGGGTTAGTATTTGGTTGATTCAGAAGCGTACAAATTACCGGACATCAGTAACGGACATCAAAAAGATATCTTTATTTCGAGACACCATTGTGGTTTTATTATTGCGTAATTATTGTGTAGATAAAAATGATGAAAATAAATAAAACATTATAGTCTAATAATACTTATAATTCAATAATTTAATCATTTTTGAAAATCGTGGTTTAATTTTGCTGTAAAGAAAAAAAAAAGAAGAAAAAAGAAAAGTACTTTCTGTGTATACTTGTACTTTTATCAGACATCGACGACTGTGCATCCTCCCCATGTGCACACGGAACCTGTACTGACAGCGTGGCGAGTTACACCTGTAGCTGTGAGAATGGCTGGACAGGGAACAACTGTGATCAAAGTTAGTATTTGATAGTTTCATCATTATAAAGAATTCTCGTGCTCAATTGCAAACGTTGAAGATAGGCTTCTTTAAGCTTTATCTTTCAACTGCCATTGTTGTAGGATTAGATACAAACAAGAAAGAAAACTATTTGTTTACTTGTCTGTCTATTCCAGACATCGATGACTGCTTGTCCTCCCCATGTGCACACGGAACCTGTACTGACGGCGTGGCGAGTTACACCTGCAGCTGTGAGAACGGCTGGGAAGGACAGAACTGTGATCAGGGTTAGTGCGATTGTTTCACTGACATACAGTCCCAGTGTTCTGCAATTGACTTTCAACGGAAGCTGCTGTATTGCTGTGATTTATTGCATTTAATTCAATTTGTCTCTTTCCAGACATCGATGAGTGCTTGTCCTCCCCATGTGCACACGGAACCTGTACTGACGGCGTGGCGAGTTACACCTGTAGCTGTGAGAACGGCTGGACAGGGAACAACTGTCATCAAGGTCATTATTAGCACTTTTCATTGACATGAAAATGTCTTGTTATTAAAATTAGCGAGTCTATATGATACTTCTTTATTTCACACTGCCATTGTGCTTGGATTAGATGCAGAAAAGAAGAAAAAAAGGGATAAAACAGTTGCGAATGAGGATGTGTATTACATGTGCTTTTTTCAGTCGACGACTGTGCATCTTCCCCATGTGCACACGGAACCTGTACTGACGGCGTGGCGAGTTACACCTGTAGCTGTGAGAATGGCTGGACAGGAACCAACTGTGATCAAGGTTAGTACTTTTCTTAGAATGTACTTGATTCTTTCAAATAACATGAACCTGCCCTGTTCAGTTAAGAACAGGGCAGGTGAACTGCGCAGGTGTAATGGGGGGGGGGCGTATTAATCTGATAAGGTGTCATTGTGGTATTGATAGTGAGAAGAAGAAAATGACAATACATGATATACAAGACTGTGTAACACTTGACCTTCAATTACCAGACATCGATGAGTGCTTGTCCTCCCCATGTGCACACGGAACCTGTACTGACGGCGTGGCGAGTTACACCTGTAGCTGTGAGAACGGCTGGACAGGGAACAACTGTCATCAAGGTCGGTGTTTCTTCTTTGAAAACTACATTGGTAAATTGACATCAACAGCTGGACACTAGATTTGTAGCATTCTTATGGTATGACTCTAAATATTGGAGTATGAGTACATTCCGTGATTTTCATCCTGCAAAGAATATTGAAAAGGTTTTTTTTACCATTTTCGCCTTAGCGAAATCATAGTTACAATAATGTTGCATAACAAAGCTGCTGACAAAACAAACTTACTTTGTCTTAAACGATAACTTGATTTTATTATTTTGCCAAAATGTTGATTAAAACATGTCTATAATCACAGAAATCAAGGATTTTAATAAACTGCATAAATTATGTCAATGAGCATTGGCAGTCAGGGCGCAGTAGGCGAAGCTTGAATTTTCCTGCCTGTCCGCCATTACTCTGGAGTTGGAGATCTGATCTCTGGCCTGTTTTTGGAGGTTTTTGTTCGAAGATGGCCAAAAAGCAGCAAACTGCGGACCCAATCTCAGTTAGAAGGAGGTAAGGAGCAAATCTTGTCAATTTGTATGGCATGTTAGTCTGGGAAATGTCCAAAAATGGACGCGAAACTCTGCCGGCGTTCTGCTATCAACGCCAGCCGAACGTAAAGCACTCATACTTCATAGGGAGTCCTCATGGGGGAGGGGGCCCGTGTCCTCTTCTTGCTGGAGTTTCGACATATCTCGGTTCAAACTTGACCAATTTTAATTTTGTTTCCACAAACGGGAAGCCTATAAAATGGAGATCGCACCACAGTAGTCACGTTTTATTCCATGGGGTAGTTTTCCGTCGGCGTGGCGTGTAAACAAAGCCGGCCGTACGTAAGCACTCATAGGGAGGGGGAGGCCTCGTCATCTCGTCTTTTGACATAAATACATGTATCTCGGCTCAAACTTTATTTGAATTTGGTTTCCACAAAAAATAGAGGAGATTCAATCACAGTAGTCACATTTTATTCCATGCATTAGTTTTCTATCGGAGTGGGGATAAACATGATGTAAACAACTTCGTAAGGGTGGGAGGGGGGCATGTCGTCTGCTATCCATGTTGGTAAATTATGGAACTAAATATAGCCTAGTGAACTCAGGGCTCGAAATTAATTTTTTTTGCATACCTGAACTGGTGCATGTGAGGTTGAAAATTACCTATTCCATACAAATTGTACCTGCACCACAGAAGTATGGGTCCTACTAAAACTGTTAAGAAATCAATATGATACTGATAGTAAAAAAGTAATAATAAGTTTACCGGTAATGGCATGTGAACTAGTCTATTATGTCTAAAGTTTATAATTCTTATATGTACATGTATAATAATATTGCACATACTTATTTGTGTAAATATATTGCAGAGACTGTTTTCTAATCACTATATCTGACACTGATTTTGTTGTACAGCCTACTTGACAAGCACCTCCTTGAAGTGCAGAACTGTGCGCGAAAGGTGGAAATCTGTGACCGCTGGCTAAACGTCAGGCTACTGAGGTACGTGAACTATTTCAGGCCTGGGTCGTCGCACCTGGAAGTCAACATGGACTAGTGGACCAATGGGTACGGCAGTTTCAAGAACTTCGTTCACCTACAAGGAAATGTGGGTGTGGTACAACTACCAGCCACTTCAAGTCTGAGGACAAACTGAGTGAATAGAGACTGTGTACACAGATTTCTTATCTCATTTGAAAATATTACTGATTTACAATTATGGATACTTGCATGGCCACCAAACTGGACAATCCATTATCATTTTCATCAAGCATGCTTGAAAATGTATTAGAATTAGATGTCAGTGTTAACCAGACTCTGTAAATGAACCCAGCAAGCCATTGCAAGCTAGATTGGAGTATTCGGAATCTTCCTAAACTGCCTTTCGTATACCCCCAAAACACTTACTTAAACAACTGGATATGATTTTGGAAACTGCCAGATGTTTCAGGTAGCATCCTTTTGTGAGTGACAATAGAGACTTGCAGGAGAAAGGCAGGTTTATAAGCACAGACTATTGATATTACCTGGGTGTCTAACTTTCACCAACATGTCTTTTGTATTTTAGGTAATTTATGAGTGTTTATTTATTAATAACTTAGATAGGTATTGCATTGTTTGGCAAGGTATTTTCCATTGATAATTTTAATGGATCAGGTTGATCAGATGATATAATGTAAAAAATTATATATGATTAGTAGAAGATTACTTTTGAAGTTCTCTTCGAGTATTATTTTAGGGTTGAATGTCACAAGGTTTATAAACTTGCATGTTGGGGACAAAGCCATGGAAGAGATTTTGAATAAAATTATTTACTTAAGTTAAAATGTACTTTTGTGTGTCATTATTCTGTTAATAAGACTCTTAAAAGTGAGAAAACAGGTTATTAACTGTTATATACTAGAGTTTTGTAATGTTTTAAAGAGTTGAAATATAGAAGTGCATGTTCTATCATTATATACAATATTAATTAATGAGAACTAGAAACATTTATATAACTTAGGTACATTGAAAAGCTAGGATGGGGAAAATGCTAGACTGCATTGCACTACGGTACGTTCCACCACCATATACTCCTCAACCATCCACCAGTTCGTAAAAACTGTAAGCCTTTTCATTGCGGCGAAAATGGCAGCTTTTTCCAAAAGCACTTGTTTATGTTTCAGACATTGACGAGTGCGCGAGCAATCCTTGCTGGCTGGGAGGAACCTGCCTGGATCACGTGAACGGCTACAGCTGTGTCTGTCCTAAAGAAACCACTGGGAAGGACTGTGAAACTGGTAGGGTTTGTGGTACAATCAGACATCTTCGTATGGCTTATCAATTATGATAAGTCCATCCATAAAAACTTAGTGAGTAACGAACTTTTGACTTGAGCTAGTACGTGTGTGTACACATTGGTCTGAAATGCTAGCAAGGCAAGGGCTAGAATAATGTGATTGATGCTGATGATTACGTGGTGGATGTAACCAATTACCATTAACATTGAAAGACGATGAAATTCTAGTAAAAATAATTGCATCGTCTATTTACTTTCCTCGTTAACAAATTGCAGTGGCTTTTGATGGAGAATGTTACCAGTTCTCCACCACCGCCGCTGCCCACCCTGACGCGGCCCGAGCCTGCCAGGCCCAGAGCGGACACCTGGTGGATGTGAAGGACGAGCAGCAGCAAACTTTCCTCGCGGACACGATCGCGGCTTCCACCGGAGCCTCCAGCTGGCTCGCCTTCAAAACAGCACCGGCGGTGTTTCTATACAGCAACGGAGCTCCTTTATTTGGTATGAAGACCTACACTCGGAATTGAAGGTGGAGACAAAATTATATGTTTGTCTGCACCTACAGGAATATGTCATCACTGTCGTATTAGTGACTGGATATGTGTTGATAGATCTGCTGTTTACAAAACATGGAGTAAAGAGACTCTTTTTGCACAACCAAGTCTTTTATTCAGCCGACGCTTCAGTGACCGTCTGTCACCTTCCTCAGGGCAATTCTGACTGGTTCACATTGCACCAAGTGTCGCTGCTTCTAGACACAGTTCCCTGTAACCACGCATATGTGTAGATTTGTAAATATTGTACGTTTCAAACTTTGGGAATTCATCTACAGCAGCGACACCTGTGCTGCATGCAGTGCAATGTGAACCAGTCAGAATTGCCCTGAGGACGATCGGCTGTTAAAAGACTTGGTTGTGTAAAACGATTCTCTTTACTCAATATCTTACCAACGTGATGAAACTATTCACGGAATCGGGATGTTTACAAGACAGTTAATCATATAAATGTATGACCAACTAAATCTATTGTATTATAAACATGAAACAACTTGCATGCAGCGCAATTATACAGGGAAGTACTATATTATTATGACTATCAAAAAGGCCTTACAACTAAAAACGTTTGAGAACAGTTCAATTAAGCATCGACCATTGATACTTGTCAACATAAGGATCCTTCCAGTGGTCTACAGCCGAGCCTGCTGCTCCCTGTGACCTTTGTGTTCTACTGGACAGCTCGGACAGCTTTAAGGGCAAGACAGCACCGTGCACGGAACAGCACAACTACATCTGCCAGGACGGTAAAGCAATTTCTATGTGTTTTATGCATTTAAACTAGTGCAATTCTAACTAGAAGCATGGTTAGTAGACCATATGACACACTGAAAATGATACAAATGACTGTGAACCACAATGATTATGGTAGTAATAAGTGTCAACGTCAGCCAAAAGGACATTGTCGAAAATGGCAATGCTGAAATCGTAACCACAATACTCAACCAGAATAAGCCAGTACATGGTTTGAATTGCGCATGCACGAGATCAAAGGTAAAGGTCCAAATCCTGCAAACATTTCTTTTGCGGACCACTCTTGAGCCCATGTCCAGACGTGTTTTGTTCGCGAGTTACAGGCCTGTATCTTTGATGCATGCGCAGTTAAAAACCTTTAACCAGCTTATTACAAGCTGACTGTTAAAAATCTCACCCTCGTTTCAGTCCTGACGCCATGCGGACAGAACATCTGTCAGAACGGCGGAAACTGCACCTCCTGCTTCGGAGACTCCGCCGCCTTCTGCGAGTGTCCGGACGGGTTCGACGGCAAGACTTGTGAGATAAGTAGGTACTTTAAGATGATGTGTCTCATCGGAATAGAATCTCTCATTTGATTCTTCGAAAAATCAAATTTCCCGAAGAAAACGTGCAAATTAGTCAAACCTGCCCGGAGTGACCACTTGGGGACTTTAAAAAATGCTCACAGCTGTCAATGCTTTGTTAACTGGAAAAATAATCTTCGGAAACCTTAAAAAAGCTGTTCACAGTGACCATATGATCCTTATGCGGAATTGGGCGCTAGTACAGTTTAAATCAGATCGTGGTTGGTTTATGTTTCGTATGAGTAAATATATGTTCGTTTCACACAAGGTGTATGATCTCATGATCAACGCACTAATCCCTCTGCCATGACAACTAAACGGAAAAATGATATAAATATTTTACAACAGGCTTATTCTTCCATACCACAACAGACATTGACGAGTGCGCCTCCGGTCCGTGCCAAAATGGCGGGAGTTGTCATGACGACGTCAACTCCTACCACTGCGTCTGCGCAACCGGTTTCCATGGACACCACTGCGAGTCAGGTTTGTGTGAAATAAGATATCTAGGACTCAAATTATTTTGCCGACGGTCTGTCCTTATGGCCTGAATGGGCTGCAGTACTGTTTATTACCGCAGGGTGGCGCTATAGCAAGGGTGCACTCCCAAACGTGATTGCCACCTCTCTGTGCATGTTCATGACTGTAGTAGACTCGGTTACGTTTGGGAATGCATGGACACCTAATGAAGCTATATACAATACTAAAGGCCCTGCGATGTTTGGCATTGCAGCACATTCTAGTCTTCAGAAAAGATACAAGACCTGTCGTCCAAATATTTTTCTTTCCTCCCGTCTGTTTTAGACACAGACTGGTGTTCCGACGTCCAGTGTCCGCACGGTTTTGTCTGCCAGGACTTCACGTTCTACTTCATCTGCGCACGTGAGTATAGTTTACAATTATGTCACGGTTGGAGATAAAAATTATCTTGGCTTAATCCGTTCGATTGGATGGCAAAAAATCAAAAAGATTTTTTCCTTAATTTTTCACTGCCAAAATTCAGTAACGTCAAAGATTATAGTCACCATGATTTTAAGTGGCGAGTCTTTTTTTTTAATTTTTTTTAGAGAGCATTGATACATTTTAGACAACTTGCCATTCTCCTAACCACATAATGGCAAGTACAGTACTTAGTCATTATATTGCAGTTCATGACCTTAGCAATACAAAATGTCTACAATAATCCCCGCGTGAACACTGTGTGCATGTAGACCCATCTCCCGTCGCTCGAGGGTTCCCGTACCAGTGCAGCAGCGCCTCCTGTCCGGACGGCATGTACTGCACCCAGAAGGGCGTGGCAGCCTTCTCCTGCAGGCCTGATGAGTGACGTCATAACCGAAGCCTCCCACGTGACGACCAGCAGCCAATGGCTGCCTTCATGTAATCTCCAAGCAGATCCCTTTCGGTGGCAAGACAATACTAGTATCCATTAGCCAGAAGAATTTGCACCGCCAACAAAGGTGGCTAATGGACACTCCTCTGGCCAATAGATACTGCCTTGCCACCGTATGATATGCTTGGAGATTACCTACATGCGTGCCTTGAAAGTGTGTGGAGATTGTTTTGGATTGATTTAGAGTCGAACTAGAGAAGCGAATGTTATATTAAATAAAACAGCAGGAAAAATGATATTCATAGTTTCTGTCCATTTTTAAAAGTCTATATTTAAAGATTCAAAACATTTCTGGAGGAATTCTTCATCTCCACTATCTGAAGAAGCAGCTTCACTTTCACTATCTGAACTATCCTTCTCACTGGGACTCTCTTCCTCCCTTTCACCCCTAAGTCCTAAGTGTTTCTCCTCAGTCTCTTGCTAGTGCTCCACTTCAGTGTCTTGCTCCTGTTCAGTCTCTTGCTGGTGCTCCTGTCCAGTCCCCTCATGTCTTCAGATGCGCCCTCCTCGCGTTTGGTGCAGACCTTGAACAAAGTTCTTTAATGCGAACACGCCCGGTTCTTTTTTTTTTTTTCAAGGTGAGGAGTCGGACATGAGGTACTGGTGGGCCTCATCCAGGAACCTCTAGTCCTCGGCGGTGAGGACTCCCGGTCCCGCCAAATGTCTCCTCTCCAATAACTGCAAAAAAAAGCTAGTACTAGTACTGGACCAAATAAAATAATAAGCTGCGTAACACATATGTCATTGAATAAACTGGCAGGATATTTGTTAGAATCAGCGCAGATTATCCGCGAAGAATGTCTGCCATGGAGTGCACCAGAGGATCCATTGAAGATTTACAAAGGACATTTGACAGGATCCCTAGATATCACAAGGCATTTCGGTCAATGATCAGGCTAGAGGATCCGTAGGAGATACGGATAGCGGATTTGATAGGATCCCTGGTCGTTCATGTGGCCAGCAGATTTGTAGAAGATACGGATAGCGGATTTGATAGGATCCCTGGTCGTTCATGTGGCCAGCGAATTCGTAGAAGATACGGATAGCAGATTTGATAGGATCCCTGGTCGTTCATGTGGCCAGCGAATTCGTAGAAGATACGGATAGCGGATTTGATAGGATCCCTGGCCGTGGGTTGGGCCAGCAGATCCGTAAAGATACGAAAAGCGGATTTGATAGGATCCCTGGTCGTTCATGTGGCCAGCGGATTCGTAGAAGATACGGATAGCGGATTTGATAGGATCCCTGGTCGTTCATTTGGCCAGCAGATCCGTAGAAGATACGGAAAGCGGATTTGATAGGATCCCTGGTCGATCATTTGGCCAGCGAATTCGTAGAAGGTACCTAATAGCGGATTTGATACGATCCCTGGTCGTGGGTTGGGCTAGTGGATCCGTAAAGATACGGAAAGCGGATTTGATTAGGATCCCTGGTCGTTCAGTTGGCCAGCGGATTCGTAGAAGGTACCTGATAGTGAATTTGATAGGATCCCTGGTCGTGGGTTGGGCTAGCGGATCCGTAAAAATACGGAAAGCGGATTTGATTAGGATCCCTGGTCGTGGGTTGGGCTAGCGGATTCGTAGAAGATACGGATAGCGGATTTGATAGGATCCCTGGTCGTGGGTTGGTCTAGCGGATCCGTAAAGATACGGAAAGCGGATTTGATAGGATCCCTGGTCGTTCATGTGGCTAGCGGATTCGTAGAAGATACGGAAAGCGTATTTGATAGGATCCTTGGTCGTGGGTTGGGCCAGCGGATCAGTAAAGATACGGAACGCGGATTTGATAGGATCCCTGGCCGTGGGTTGGGCCAGCGGATCCGTAGAAGATACGGAACGCGGATTTGATAGAATCCCTGGTCGTGGGTTGGGCCAGCGGATCCGTAAAGATACGGAAAGCGGATTTGATAGGATCCCTGGTCGTACATTTGGCCAGCAGATCCGTAGAAGATACGGAACGCGGATTTGATAGGATTTGTATAACCACCAATGTGCTTCTTTGATAGAGTGGGAGCTGTCAAACCTGTCTAGTATGTTAATACGAAAATTTAATGAGTGAATGAAAAAGCATATTTCTCTGGATCCTTGCAAATGTTTTTATTGAAGGATTCGTGGAAATGATGTATCCGTATTCGTTTACAGTTAGGGAGTCAAGCATATAAGATATCGTATCCATAGTGTATCTGCTATCCGAGCGGATACGGTGTCACATCCGTTGGGTATTTTGTCGTATCCTTCACGGATTTGGCATTTGTTCGCATTTGTTCGGAATCTTCCGTATCCGTGACGGATCGATTTGACGGATGCGGCGGTATCTGCCGGGAGGCTGTGGCCATTTTGCCCAGTGTTAAGTATCCCTGAAAGCCTTCAACATAAAGGCAGACTCGTGGGAAAGACTTGCCAGTGACCGACCACTGTGGCGACGCACAGTTAGAGAGTGTGCCGCTACCCTACTACAGAGGGATGACAAAGCGGTCCTCGTCAACCTGACGGACGAACGACGTGTGTGTTTATAATATAATATAATATAAATAGTTCTAGTCTCATTATTTGTAGTTTTTGTAGAACGAGATAGAGAGACACCTACCTGGGCATTACTCTCGATCCATCACTAAGGTGGGCAGCACATGTGCAGAGAATCACGAAGAAGCTTCTTGGCGGACTCAGAGCCATTGGGCGTGCTAGAGCCTTTGTTACAAAGGAAGTTCTGTGTACCATGTACCAGACACTACTACTGTCTCATCTGGAGTATTGTGCTACAGCATGGCTACCAAGTCTTGTTCAAGGCAACAAGACTCTTATGTCACAGCTGGACAGACTGGTGAACCGAGCTGCAAGGCTCATTACAGTTCACAAACTCCAGGACCATGTCTCAGTGGTTAACTTGTTGATGTTTAGGATGTTGTATTTAGTAATTGTTTATGTACTGTGTATCTGTTGTGTGTATTTTTATGTGCATCCAGGATTACCTGAAAAACAGGCCAAAATGGCCTGAGCTGTAATTACTGGCTTGTAATTACTGGCTATTGATAAATAAATGAATTGAGACATACTTACTACCTACTCATAGTTTCATTAGTGACATTACTTTTTTTTCAAGTTTAGTCACAAACGCATACGGTGTACGTACTATACTAATCAAAACCACAGCTGAAAATGTAAGACAGGCTGTATACAATCCCACTCTAGTTTATTGTGTTTTGTACTGTCAAAAACTGAGAGACAAATCGCACGGCAGTCGTCAAAGTATTGTTTTTTTTTTGTCAAACCCTGACTGGAAATACCATCGCGGACTGCAATCAGAACAATAATCGTCTGTCTGGTCTGGCAGATGTTGTTTACTCACATCCAATATACTAATCAAACGTGGTCTTAAGCATCAACACTGGATATTAATTAGTCTACGGCTATGAACTTTTGATAGAACTCAACACTTTTGTCAGATCTTATGCAACATCCTACGTATCCATGTGCATGGCTTACATAGGCTCGTAAGGTTCTTCCAAAAAAACTTATGCATATTGTGGTCAGCACGATATCTACCAGACTTATTTGGGATGTCTTTCATTCTTTGGAGAAGCAGTGGAGGTGGAAATTCGGGACTGACATCCACGTCGCTCGCTCACAACATCATATTGATCGTTTCTCTTCGAGACAGAAAAGAAGGTGAACTTTTTCTGTCGTCTTTAGTATACAGACAAGAAAGATTCAAAGATCTTGTAATCAAGCAGACACAAAAGGCAAGCCTCCAGCTATTCCTATACATATTTGGCTAGAAAAATGACTTATGTATTCTCCATATGGACGGAAGCAGTCACCAAACGAAGCAGGCGTCGCTTTCCCACAAGACTGTACCATTGACAACAAAACTAGTCGGTTGTTTCCGTGGGTAGCATTGGACTGTCGGAAATTACATTTGACAACACTCCCTAAAAGCGTACCACCCGATGTGACTTGTCTGGATCTTTCATACAACTGTATAAAGAGCCTGACGGAAGTTCCAGTTCAGAAACATCTCAGTTCGCTGGTCCTGAAATTTAACCGCATTGAAACCGTGGACTGGGCGTCTCTTCGCAACTTACCAAACCTTGAAAACCTGGATCTCGAGTTTAACCGAATCACGCACATCAGCTTGGACGCAGTCGTGAAAAATTTGCCCAAATTGGAGAGCGTAAATTTGTCTAACAACAGGCTAGCTTCTTTCTCCTTTCACGAGCTGGGACATCCTTTCTTACACGTCTCCGCCATTATTTATTTTTCTATCCACCTCCCGAAGCCTGGTAGAGGCTACATACACTAGCATAAGATATCTCTCTGTCAACGTTTCAGTGGCCCTGCTGTTATATTGAACAAGAAATTAGGCATGTTGGCCCTGTAGCCGAAGAGCTGGCCTGTGTAGGCTCTAGAGCCGAAGAGAATATACATACTGTATTTTATGTATATTCACATTTCAATAGAGATTATAAATTTATGAATCATTATGTTTTTAGTAGTTTCAACATATTCTTCTCATCTGCAACCAGACCATAACTATAAACACATGTATATCAAAAATTCAAAACGAACATTTATTTGCAACAAGCGCATGTTAACATAATAACCTAAACTCAAAAGGGCACCTACTTTATTTTACGTGTACCCATAATTTAGTATAACAAGTACCTGTTGGTTCTATCAATTACTACAAAATGTGATACAGTAGAATATCAGGAACGTCTTTCTATGCACTTAGAAGTACAAGCACTAATTCTTTCATCTATCGCAACCATTATTCAGAAACAAGAAAACAAATACTATACTAAATAAACTGATTCTATAAATAAGTTAACAAAATTAAACAAAAAATACTTATATTGGATGGTAATCCATCTATAACACAAACCCTCATGGCTCTATAATAAAAGAGCTTAAAGAAGTGAACTTACGTTAGTTAGCTTGATATAACTTTGCATCCCCTATATCATTTAAGTTATGTTATGATGTGGAATGCTACAGTCCAGATGTACCACATTAAGTCCATCATTTCAAAGGAACAAAACATTATGGGAAAGACACTAAAGCAACCTTTACACACAGTTTTAAAGTCACTGTTTGTAGTACATCAAGTAGAGATAATACACAGATGTTCCTTTTCCAGTTAGATTCCTCACTCTCACAATATAAAGAGTTAACGGTTCAACCGTTGGAAATTTTAAAAAAATGAACTTTTCTTGTACAACACGAAATGTCCTCAATCTGAGTATTCATAGTAAAACGTTAAACTTTATTCAAACACACAATTTCGTGTGAGGCTTTTTTTGGTTTTTCACATGATCAGCCTTCTCTAGGTGGACACAAGTTAAGTTATTCCAAAACCTCCCACTTAAGAGTTTGCACATGTCTCATGTAAGGATCCAGGTGACTGAACAGTCTGCTGAACTCCTCACACTGTTAGAGTTTCTTCTCTGTAAGTTACACCGGTTTCTCTCATGTGTCTCTTCAGATTACCTAGATCACTTACTGTCTGCTGCATTCCTCACACCTGTAGGGTTTCTCCCGTGTGAGTCCGCATGTGTCTCTTCAGATTACCCAGGTCACTGAACTGCCTGCTGCATTCGTCACACCTGTAGGGTTTCTCACCTGTGTGAGTCCGCATGTGTGCCTTGAGATGACCAAACTCTCTGAACTGCTTGCTGCACTCCTCACACTTGAAGGGTTTCTCACCTGTGTGAGTCCGCATGTGTCTCTTAAGACTACCCAAGACACGAAACTGCCTGCTGCATTCCTCACACCTGTAAGGTTTCTCACCTGTATGAGTCAGCATGTGAGTCTTCAGAATACCCATTTGACTGAACTGCCTGCCGCACTCCTCACACTTGAAGGGTTTCTCACCTGTGTGAGTCCGCATGTGTGTCTTCAAATGATCCAGCTGACTGAACTGCCTGCTGCACTCCTCACACCTGTAAGGTTTCTCACCTGTGTGAGTCCGCATGTGAGCCTTGAGATGACCAAACTCTCTGAACTGCCTGCTGCACACATCACATCTGTAAGGTTTCTCACCTGTGTGAGTCCGTATGTGAATCTTTAAACTATCCAGCTGACTGAACTGCCTGTTGCATTTCTCACACATGTAGGGTTTCTCACCTGTGTGAGTCCGCATGTGTCTCTTCAGATGACCCAGGTGACTGAACTGCCTGCTGCACTCCTCACACCTGTAGGGTTTCTCACCTGTGTGAGTCCGCATGTGAATCTTCAGACTACCCAGTCGACTGAACTGCCTGTTGCATTCCTCACACTTGTAGGGTTTTTCCCCAGTATGAGTCCGCGTGTGGATCTTTAGGTCACACAGCTGACTGAACTGCCTGTTGCACTTCTTACACCTGTAGGGTTTCTCACCTGTGTGAGTCCGCAGGTGAGTCTTGAGATTACACAACTGACTGAACTGCTTGCCGCACTCCTCACATCTGTACGTTTTTGTGGCAGATCTCCCATACGATCCTCTTTTGATGCCACCAGAGCTACCACTATTTGTTGCCATAGTAACAAAAGCTGAATTCACCTCTGTAGTTCTGGAGCCTCGCTGTTTTCCTTTCAGCACTACTGGACTATGGAATCCTGTTTTCCCTTTCAGCACTACTGGACTATGGAATCCTGTTTTCCCTTCCAGCACTATTGGACTATGGAATCCTGTTTTCCCTTTCAGCACTACTGGACCATGGAATCCTGTTTTCCCTTTCAGCACTACTGGACTATGGAATCCTGTTTTCCCTTTCAACACTACTGGACTATGGAATCCTGTTTTCCCTTTCAGCACTATTGGACTATGGAATCCTGTTTTCCCTTTCAGTACTACTGGACTATGGAATCCTGCTTTCCCTTTCAGCACTATTGGACTATGGAATCCTGTTTTCCCTTTCAGCCCACTGGACTATGGAATTCTGCTTTCCATTTCAGCACTATTGGACTATGGAATCCTGTTTTCCCTTCCAGCACCACTGTAGTAAGATATGGAATCCTGTGGAAAACGGAAAACAAAAAACAATGATCAGAAGTCCTGCATTTCCTTCAAATATCCCCTCAGTCGACAAAGATCCATGTATGATAGTTAGTGAGTCACCCCTAATCCTACACAATGAATAAGATGGTCAACATTTCATTTCAACACATTTCTATCTGCTATGCAACATGAATCATGCTGACCATATGAACCTCTTCAACAATGACCATATACTGTAATTACTCAATCTGAAAGAAACAAAAGAAAGAATACCTCAGAAATTATTTGGTGCTTGCTGCGATAATTTTGACGCTGTTTGTTTCAATTGGCGTGTTGGGTCGATTTTTCCAAACAGAAGAGGTATTACTTATGCAAAAATTATCATCATTGCTTGTCCAGAACATAGAAACACCGTAGATTCTATAGTATCTAGGAAACCTGCCATAGTGCCAAAATATAATTATTTCTTCATTACAAGAATCAGATTATACCAAATTTCAGGACAAATTTCAAGTCACTTGAGATATGCTGCTAAACCACATGCGTGCAAATGCACCTACATATAACTTTCCTTGACATGTCAATGATGTTCTCACCTGCAATATATATTTTACACAGTCAAGTCTTGAGCTGCTACACCAGTGTACTGATGTCTGGAAGAACAAGGGTGAAGCCTCACCGTTTTACCTTTCAGCACTACTGGACTATGGAATCCTGTTTTCCCTTCCAGCACTACTGTAGTAAGGGACTATGGGATCCTGTGGAAAACGAAAAACAAAAAAAATGTGATCAGAAGTCCTGCATTACCTTCAAATATCCCCTCAGTCGACAAATATCCATGTATGATAGTTAGTGAATCACCCCTACTCCCACACAATGAATAAGGCAACATGTATGAGAGTTAATGAACCTCCCCTGATTCCAGACCTTTTCTCCATGACAGAAACCAGATGTCTCGGCGGGAAGACCACAATGAGGCACATTTGGGGGTTTACAGAAATATTCGACCTCAAAACAACTTACACATTTCAAACCAAAAATTCCCGTTTCTCTGCAAAATCAAATATGCATTTATAAAAAAAATGCAACTTTGCTATTTGTACAACATCCAAGCACCTCTGTCGTGTTTTATTTCTAATTTTTAAGGAGACGACATATTAACCCCCTAGACCTTCGCTGAGGTGTCAACAACATTTTTCTGACGGTCTTTTACACACCTAGAAGGGTACAACAAAAGAAAACAAAACCAAAGAAAGTTTGCGTGCCTGTGCTACTCTACATAATGTCATAAACTCCGCTGTTCCTGACAGAAACTGTTTACAAACAAGAAGCCGTTGCTTTTCGAGCAGAATAGAATTTCTCACAAGCGACACACAAACACACACGTCGCTAGCGGCTAGCTAGTGAAAGACTCGGAGAGCGTAAAACAAACTTGTACGTGTTATTCTCCCGTCACTTCGATGTACTGTAGAGAAGACAAGCTCTTGGTACGAACCTGAGTTGTATGTAGGATGAAATCCCGGCGATCTGAACCGAAAAAGGCTCGTAGAAAGACGACGAGAAGCCCCCACGACACTTTCTTCCACACCACGACAAGTCTGGTGGACGGAGACACGGGGGTTAGCGGAATGAGCTCCGCGGAGATGGGACACATAATGAGGCATAGCGGAGGTACTCTCCAAGCAGAGTGTTGGGTTATTTTTGGCGTGTTTATAGGCTTTTTCTATCTGGATTTCTTTTTTGCACTGGATTTGTATTCACCGTTGGGTTGGGTAAAAAAATAACCCAAACCTCTACTTGGAGAGTAAAGCGGAGAATAGTTCTTGTTATCCGCGGAGTTCGAATGCTAGAGGCAGTTTTTTTTAAACTTGTGAAGTCTTTGCGAATGACTGTAGAGCTGGGAAGATAAGAGATGCGCCGTTTTAATATTATCAAAAATTAAAAAAAAAAAAACTTTGAATGACAGGAGCTTGATTCGACCAAGGGTTGTCAACCGTCCACTCTGCACAAGCCTTGACATATCGGCGCAATTATCACAGCTACCGCTAGGCGGCGCTAGGGCCCACAGGGCGAATCATTTTTACGCTGGGCTTTCATTCTGTGAAAATTATTTTTTTTACTCCGTGAAGGAGGTCAGGACCTCCGGACGGAGTGTTGTGAAGAGCCGTTTTTTCGTGTTCGCAGTCAAAACACTCGGTTCTCTTTGTGTAACCGGCATGCAATTTTACGCCGTCTGCGGGCATGCCCGTGTTGATGCACAAATGTGTATTTTTGCCGTTGCCGCTTTCGCGGTCAATGTAATATTGCAAATGCACCCCTACAATTATGAGGCAAATTGGAATGGTCCAGAAAAAACCGTTGTTTGGAATAGCGGTGGGGGGTGGAACTTCAGGCAGGTATGGTGAGGGCCGATAAGTGGTACCACGGCAGCTCTAACACTCGCGGTGCTGGCCGCAACTGTTGCTGGAATTTTCCAGTCGCGCTTAATAAGTAACAGGCACGGTAAGACGGTGGGGCTGTCTTTGTTACTAGTGACACGACCATGATAGTCCGATCTTTATGTGAATGCAATGATTGTGTGTGTGTAATTAAAATGAACTTCGAACTTGAAGCACAGTATCTTTACACGCCCTGAGAGCAGTAATGGATTTAGGTCTTTTTATGTTTTATGGTTGTGACGCGCCCTCATTGTATTATGTCTGCACAGTAGGTCTGGCGTTGACGCTTAGGATTATTTTTGTTTAGATATAAAACTTCACGGAGGATTGTCACCTATGGCTTCTTGTTATAATTTCATTCCATATTTTGGCAACACAAGATGAGGATGTGTCGAGGTTAGGTTTGCCAAAGTCTGCTCAATTTTTCACCATTATTTGATACACAAACCTCAGAATATACGGACCATTTATTGACTGACTTTTTTATTTATTTAAAGAAACTAGCAATGTTTATACACCTTGACTCGTCTGCGAAGTCTGCAAAAGACTTAATGGCATCCTAGACTTTTTATTTGTGAGACAACGTTAAAGGGGACTTCGTAACGTCGGGAGGAGGGTATTATTTTATAAGATTTAACGCAGATCACATATGTTGGCAGATGTAATTCGAAACCCCGATGTCACAAAGTGTAACTTGCAGTGTTATAATGAGCCAGTTGGACTTTAGTTTCTACACTTGTTCAAACTAGGTTCATGATCGCATTATTATGAATAATACATTGTCCAATCAAACAATATTTATCATCAAAACAGAAATAAAACAGCCTTCACGCCAGCTTCTGGCAACTTCTCTCAAAATACATGTAGCTGGTCAGGCAAAATAGAATATTAATAATAAATTCTTTCTTAGAAAAATTGTGTTTTTCACTCACTCGTGATTCTTGTATGAATATGGATATCCATACAGGCAGGAGTAATGGATATGTTACTGAGTCGTTACTGATACTCGCTGCCATTAATATCAGCTGTGTTGCCTGTCAACAGGTCTGTACCATTATTGCCAGCAGGGGTGCTGTTATTACAGTTACTTAACAGCCGTTACCATGCTAACAAAAGGGAGTAAATGTTTAGAAATCCGGCTTAATGTATGGACAATCCAAGTTTTAAAACCTTCTAGCAGAGCACCTTATATAATTTTCAGGCTTTAATGCAGAAACTTTCAAATATACAAGTTACCAATTCGATACATTTTAAAAGTAGCGGGTTGGTAATACGTTATTGGTGACGAAAACAAGTAAATATGCATCTCTGGATCTGCACCACGATCAGAATTTTCATCGTAATCATAGATATCAATGATATTCAAATAGCCAGCTTCAGACAATTAACTCCACCATTTACCTAAGACCGATCCCAGGTTGTTTGTCAAACGCCATTGCAGATCAGCTACAGAAGGAGGCTGACACACCCTGCAAGAACAACAACAACCTGCGCCCGAGTCTCTGTCAAAAAAGTGTCACCTAAAATTCTGACCAACTTGAAAGGTTTGTGTCTGAGTATATATTACATATCAGGTAAAATGCCTTGTAGGCGGTTTTTCACTAGCCTACGCCCATAGGCTAGGCTGGCAATCAGATGTTAGTAAGTACTAGATATAACGGGGGAAGATTTTTTTGACTGACGACAATGGTAGATAGTTGTCAGAGAAGTCTGGACATCAGAAAATTTCCAGCTCAATATCTGCTTGGGAAAAGGTTAGTGCTAACGAAAGCGAAGTAACAGGGGTACTTGATTGTTTAATTTGCTGACGTGGCACTATTGGTAAAATTTTGGCTGAAACCAGAACTACAGATAAACCATCATGACTTTGCTAAGCCACAGTCTGTTTAAGGCTTGATGTAAAGACCATTTTGCCAACACAAGACTTTTCAAAACGAACACGGAAACACAGCTTAAGCTTCAATCTGTCTTCGCTTACCAGGAGTTTCTACAATTGCATTATCAGTAGAGTGCATGTACCTAAAGAACA